TGTCGAGGAGGAGGACTACCACGACATCTCTCGACTAAACAATATAGCTTATAAATATAGACGACAAAAATCAGAGACATCTCACGCTTATACATACCGCCCACCAAAATTAGTACGACTAATTTTTAGCTGAATCAACAGGTAATTTACATAACTTGTTAATTGCACGTTTTACAACACCGTTCATCGTACGCATGGATGCGACGCGGACCAAGCCATCCTTACCAGCGTGTAATTCTATCACGCGTCCTAGCTTCCACTTCCATGGAAGGATATCCCTTTCGCGAATTACTACCAAGTCATTGACCTTTACATTTTCCTGAGGAAATTTCCATTTAGTTCGCTGTTGCAAATTAGAGAGATATTCTACCGCCCACCGTTTCCAAAAGTCTTGGGTAATTCTTTGTATTAACTGCCATCGAGTCAACCGGTTTACGGCAACGTCGGTCACGTCAACATCAGGCGCACTTGTCAATGGTCCTCCAACCATAAAGTGAGCTGGCGTGAGTGGCTCCAAATCAGTTGGATCAGAAGATAAAGGTGATAAAGGTCTTGAATTAAGACAAGCTTCGATTTGAGCAAGTGTAGTCGTTATTTCTTCAAAGGTGAACATTACGTTTCCCATTACTCGTTTGAGATGATATTTGCATGATTTTATTCCAGCTTCCCAGAAGCCTCCCATGTGGGGAGAGTTTGGAGGAAGAAATCGCCAATTGATCCCTTCGTTAGTAAGCATGTCTCCTGCCTCATCTATGACTTGAGATCTTATGAACTGCTGTATTTCTGTCAATTCTCTGTTGGCACCAACGAAGTTTGTACCATTATCGCTCCATATAGTATGCGGACATCCTCTTCTGCTCACGAATCGACGTAGAGTCGCCATAAAGGCAGCGGTTGACAACTCACTCGTGACTTCCAAATGAATCGCCTTGGTCGCAAAACAAACGAATAAAGTGATGTAAGATTTATTTGTTTTCCGTCCACGACCCTTGTTAACCAGCGTGATGATCGGTCCTGCAAAATCAACTCCTGTAACGTAAAAACATCGGCTTGGCTGAACACGACATTCTGGTAGATTTCCCATCATTTGAAAGGTTTCGTGGGGCTGCGTTTTAAAACAGCGTATGCATTGACGACACACTTGCCGCGTCAGTGCTCTTCCATTTAAAATCCAGTATCGTTGTCGATTGGAATATAACAATAATTGTTGGTTTGCATGAAGAAGACGCTTATGTTCTCTCTCAACCAGTAATTTCGTGAAACGATCCCCTATTGGTAGTAAAATAGGGTGTTTGCGTTCAAAACTTAAACAACTTTGCTGCAGACGACCGCCTACTCTGATGATGTCTTGATTGTCGAGAAAGGGCATCAAGGATGCAATCTTGCTTGAAGATTTGCTATTACGATTGCTCTTCAAATCCGAAAGTTCCTTGGCAAAGTGATTCGCTTGTACATAACGGATAAGAACACGACGTGCCTCACACAGCTCCTGCACTGACAAAGAACTCAAGATTCGATCCTGTGGCTTCCTTCTTGCATTCAATATGAATCGTCGACAATAAGTGATTACTCGCTCAATCCTCGTTAATGACGAGAAGGTATTAAGTAAATTTGCGATGAGTTGTTGACCTCCAGTAGCAACGTGGCAAATTTGTCCCTTCTTGCGCTCTTCAATGAATATCAGTTTGCAAGCATCTGGCGATAAGTCGAACTCTCGTTGATTTTTCGTTAACACTCCTTTATCGAGCAACCAAGGCGGTCCCACCCACCATGATTGTAGCTTCTCAAGTAGCCGAGGACTAGTGCCCCTAGATAGCACATCTGCTGGATTTTCCTTGCCACTTACATGACCCCAGGTTACCGCTGGTATGGTTTCGTTGATCTCGGTTACCCTATTTGCGACAAAAGATTCCCATCGTGACACATCGCCGCGTATCCAATGTAACACGACCATGGAGTCAGACCACATTCTTACGTTCTTAATCGGTATTTTGAGGGCTCGAAGAACTACTAATCGTGTTAATAGGACGGCACTACATAACTCTAATCGAGGTAACGTTGTTGTCTTTATCGGAGCTACTCGCGATTTTGAACACAGTATTCGAGAACTAAGCTCTCCTCGGTAATCTTCCGTTTGTATATATACGCAAGCGCCATAGGCTCGTTCTGAAGCGTCGCAGAATCCATGAAGGAATAATCGCTGAGCTTTATCACATGCAATAACACGTCTCGGAATGCATAGAGTTTTTAACGAACTTAATTCGACCTTGAATTCCTCCCATTTAACGAGAAATTCATCAGGAAGTCGCTCATCCCAATCGCGATCAATTCGCCATGTTTCCTGCATTAACAGCTTCGCTCTAGTTAGTATTGGCCCAATTAGTCCAAGAGGATCAAACAGCCTACTTATTGCAGAAAGTACTTGTCGTTTCGTTATAGAGGATGCGAGTTTACGCACAGTGAATTTAAAATTGTCCTCATCCGGATTCCATTCTAATCCGAGAGCCTTGATAGCAGTTTTGTCATCAATACTGAGAATAAAAGACATTTTCTCATTTTGTGGCGTTAAGGATACAACCTCCGGAGAATTCGAATGCCATTTGTGAGCTTTGAAACCTCCGGTGCTTAATAATTCTGAAATATGTGCGCGCAACTCAATTGCACCCCTTACATCTTCGGCGCCTGTCATGATATCATCTACATAGATTTCGTCTCGTAGTACGCGTGATCGCCTATTTCTGCGAGTTTACATATGCACTTAATAGCTAAGTACGATGGACTAGGTTCTCCGTAAGTGACTGTGTTCAAACGATATTCACGAATCGGTTCATCTAATGAATATCGCCATAAAATTCGTTGATAGTCGCGATCTTGCGGATCAATAATTACTTGACGATACATCTTTTTTATATCTCCAGTTAACGCAATCTTGTGCATACGAAACCGAATCATTATTTCTATTAAACTATTTTGGATTGTAGGACCGATCATCAGTATGTCGTTAAGAGATCGTCCTGACGTAATCTTACTAGATGCGTCAAAAACAGCGCGATATTGTGTAGTAGAACTAGATTCCTTTACAACGCAATGGTGTGGTAAATATACAGTCTGTGAATTGGGTCTATCTTCATCGTCCCTTACTTGTGACATGTGACCTAATGTCTCATATTCGCGCATAAACTTATTATATTCCTCTCGCAATGATGGATTACTCTTAAAACGACGTTCCAATTGCCTTAATCTATTTTCTGCGATTCCGCGAGATTCGCCCAACGGTTCAGCGTCTTCACGAATAGGTAAACACACGACGAATCGACCATTATTATCACGCACGGTCGTTAGCTCGAAAATTTCTTCGCATTTTTGTTCTGTTTCGGACATAATAGGACGCACATAGGTATTACAATTTTCGATTTCCCAAAATCGTTCAAGATTTCCATTGAGCGACTCACCCTGTTGGGTGGAACAATGAAGCGATGTGGTTGTTACGAGCATGTCAGAAGTTTTGGAGTTCGTCTTTAATATGATTAGTCCGGCAAGGACCCAACCGAGTGTTTTGTAAAATTGGACGATTTCTGCCGAGTTCTATTTTTCCTGCCTCTAGTATTTCGTAAAAATATTCTGCGCCCATTAATATGTCTATGGGGCCAGATTTATCAAATTCGCAATCCGCAAGCTTTAGATTAGATGGAACTTGAAGTGTCTCACGCGAGATCTCGATCGAT